ACCAGGGGCTGGGCAGGAGGTGTGCACGAGGGGGTGGGTCAGCCCGGGGAGGGCTGCCAGGGCTCCGGTGAGGGGGTGGGTCGGGGCTCCTGCCGGGGCGCCTGCAGAATGTGGGCTTGGAAAGGTCTTGTATTCTGTTTTGGGAAAAAAATAAAGGAAAAATCAGATTTTAGTGTGAAAAATCTCCTGAATTTTAAAAGGTGACAATCAATTTAAAAAAAAAAAACGGTCTAGTGGTGCACAAAACCTGTCTGCAGGTGGACTGGACGTCAGGTCTGTCGGCGTTTCCTGCATAGACCGCACCACCTCTGAGGGTTCATCCTTGTGGTTGGGAGGGGTGTGTGTGTGTGTGTGTGTGTGTGTGTGTGTGTGTGTGTGAAAGAGAGAGAGGGAGGGAGATAACTTGCTCACACCCAGAAGAATACAGCGGAGGAGAGGGTATGTCACAAGCTTCAGTGGACAGGGCTTGAGGTCCACCCTGGCCTCTCCTACCAGAGTCCCCAGTGTGCATCTTGGATTGGGGCAGCAGACTGCTGGCGGGGGTAGTGGGGCTCTGTGGATGGGGTAGCAGGTCCTTAATCGTAGGTAGACGATGGATGATTTGCATTGTAAAAAGAAGCTGGGGACTGTCCCCAGGTGGAGACCCCAGGGAAGGGCTTACCCTTTGGGGACCGGTTCCCTTAGACTATGAGGGACAGTTGTTGGTGAGAACTGCTCCCCCCACCAATCAGCTCCCACAAGGGAGGTGATCCTTAAAGGAACAGAAAGGTCTCTGTGAGTACGGGAGATGAGGTGGGGAGAATGGCCCCCATCCCTCTGCTGGGTGGGGCGCCCAGCTCTGGGTGGGGCTCAGCCCATAGAGGGCCGTCTTCTGCTCCGCGCTCACCTTGGGATTGGAGAAAGGCCAAAGCCGCCCCACTGTCCATCACCTCTCCGTGATGTCTGGTCTTTAGTTAGTAAGACATCCAGGGCCACTGTGTCCCCAGGAGCAGGAAACGGGCGGCCTGGGGGAAGAATGCGCCCAGGTGCCCGCAGTCTCCGGCGTGGATGGCCACAGTCCCAGCTCTGGAAGCTCAGTGCAAGGTTCGTCCTCCTCAGCTCATTCTCAAGGCTAGAGGATTCCGAACGTGTTTCTTTCCTTTGACTTCTACAGTCACTCGCGGTGCGGCCAGACAGCCTCAGCCTGCAGTCCACTGCCCATCCGCCAGGACCCAGGTAGAGTAGGACATCGGCTCAGCACGAGTTCTTCCCCCCTCCCCAAGCCAGGGACAGAGCACATCTTAGGAGCACGGTGGGGGCTGAGAGTGTGGGTTCCAGAGTCACACGGCCCTGGCTCCTGTCCTGACTAGTTGTGCGACCTTAGGCAAGGTCCCAGATCTCTCTGGGTCTCAGCTTCCTCATCTACTGAAAGGGAACAGCGACTTCAGCCTCCCAGCATGGCGGGGGTGGGCTGAGACGGTGCAGGCAAAGGGCGTGCTCAGGGGAAGTGTTGTCCTTACCAGCTTCACTGTCATGCTGGTGGTTGTGCCCTCCTGCGCATCTGCACTGGGCAGCACACTGCCTCCGGGGTCAGCCCTCTCCCCCTCGCATGCAATTGTCCAGGAGACCGTGCACAGGGACAGCTGGGGAACCAGCCCAAGCATGTTGTCAGGGCAGAACACCCTTCAGACCACAGGAGGTGAGTGTGGCAGAGGTCCGGGGTGGGGGCGGCCTTCGAGGAGGGAAGAGATGTTTTAGTTGGTCAAGCTCCAGTGCCCTGGGTGTGTGTGTGTGGGCCCTCAGCCCTGGTAACCCCAGGCTGCGCTGCGCTCTCTGTGTCTGCAGGGTCCTGGGTCCCTACTGCGTTAGAGCAGGGAAGCTGTGAGCAGTCTCCCGCAGCATCTGCCAACAGCAGGAGGTGACTGGGTGCAGGCGAAAGGGCTGCTGGGATTCTGTCTGGCGATCGCATGGGACTGTTCAGACAGATGTTTCTCAACAGCTGGGCCCTTGCTGGGAGGGGCTTACCTACCGTTTTAGAGTTTCAGCTACAAAGTTCCTGACCAGAGAGTGTTTCTTGCTTAACTTTATCCTAAACATTTACATTCATTATTACAAATAGGGAGGCCAAAGGGGTCCTTGGTTTCCCCCTCCACTCCCTGGGGCAGGGTCTAATAAGGCATGAAGTTGCAGCTTTGCAGAAGGTGCAGGGCGGTTGCCATGTGCACAGGAGCACCTTGTTGATTTCAGGGGAGGCGGGCCTGGTGTGAGAGTCTTGCTGGTCCCCAGATGAGGCCACTACCTGCCCAAGAAGTAGACAGCACTGGCTGCCCGGTGTGCGATGAAGGGGCTCCCCACCCCTCTGCCCCCCACTGCCGTTGCTGCCCCTCTGCTGCATGGTAACCAGGCATGCCAGGGACAGTGCCACTTGCCTGTGAGGCCCGAACCAGAGGTCTGTCACTAATAAGATGAATTTCAGGCAAAAGGGGTAGCTGTGATAAGTCAGTGGACAATGTATTTTTGGTCGCATGAGATCTTACAGTGGTTACAATGTTGTGTTAGTTTCTGGTGTACAGCAAACTGAATCGGTTGCACAAATATATATTTATGTTCTTTTTCATATTCTTTTCCATTATAGGCTATTACAAGGTATTGCATATAGTTCCCTGTGCTGTGCAATAGGGCCTTGTTGGTTATCTATTTTATATACAGTAGTGTGTATCTGTCAATTCTGAACTCCGAATTTATTCTCCCCACCCCTTTCCCTCCCGATAATCATAAGTTTGTTTTCTATGTCTGTGAGTCTGTTTCTATTTTGTAAATAAGTTCATTTGTATCATTTAAAAAAATTGGTTTGGCTTTTTTTGGGGGTAATTAGGTTTATTTCCTTATTTGATGGAGGTCCTAGGGATTGAACCCAGGACCTTGTGCATGCTCAGCATGCTCAGCATGCACTCTACCACTGGGCTATACCTTCTCCCTCATTTGTTTTTTAGATTCCACAAAAAAGTGATATCGTATGATATTTGTTTTTCTCTTTCTGACTTACTTCATTTGCAGACTTTCTGTTTTGTTCTGCTCTTTTTGGTGTATTTTATTTTTAGTTGCCCTTGGTAGGAGTGTTGGCCTGCTCCAAGCCATTCTGTCATATCTGGAAACAGGGGCCCTTCAGAGCCTATATCGTGATCAAAGTTTGCCTGACTCAAAAATCCTTACTCTTTCTACTCTAGCAGAAGTCAGGATTTAGTTTTCATGCCAATATGGCCATGAATAATAATAATAAAAAGTCTGTTGATAAGAGATACATTTATGTTCTTTTTCATATTCTTTTCCATTATAGGCTATTACAAGGTATTGCATATAGTTCCCTGTGCTGTGCAATAGGGCCTTGTTGGTTATCTAGACAAACAGACAAACAGACAAACTCCTGCTTCATATAAATTACACCCAGGGTTTCCGATTTTCACTGCAAGCATCAAGAAACAGTTGCTCTGGATACTTCCGAGGTAGTGGTCTAAGTCTCAATTTAAATACAAATGGGAAAACCTTATCACCGCCAGGGAACTTGGCTTTTCCCACGTCCTGGATGGCAACCGGATTTCACAGACGTGCAGAGAACCATGGTCTCCCGGAGGTTCCTGAGCGCTGTGCAGGGGCTCTGGCCGGCCATTCGGAATGGTTATGAGTCTGTCTCCAGCATCCCCTCTTCCCAAACTCCTTACATCTCTGGACCCCTCCCCGCTCTGTAAGCAGGGAAGATTTGTGGAGAGGGTGGAAGGGGCACTGTCTGTCCAGGCACAACCACCCTCCCCGGCTCCATCCAGGTCTCTGGCATTGTCCTGCGGCTTGGGACTGCCTCTGGCAAAACCCTCCCCTGCGTCTCTGCTGGCCCGCTCTGCCCACCTGCTGTCCTGCTCTGCCCACCTGCTGTCCTGGGGTCTCTCGTTGGGTTCTTTTCTCAGGTTTGCTTTGGACCCACACACACTTGGGAGCCTCCATGCGCCTCCCTCTTACCCTTCTCTCATCTGGGCCCCTCCTTCCAGCCATATCACTTTCTTGGAGTTTCCCATCGAGGTCTCTCATACCTCCCTCCTCTGCTGTGCTGAACCCTCAGTGAAAACACTCCTCACTCCCTTCTGCCTTCCCCATCCCCTCACTGTTGAAGATGCCACCTCAGGGAGGCCTTCCTGGCTTCCTGGCTAGGTAAGCTGGAGATGCTTGCAGCTGGGTACCCACAGCTGCCCTTGGCCGTGGTGCTCCCCATCCTGGCTGCCGTTTATGTCCTGTTTCTGTCTCGCCTTGATCTCTTGCAGTCCCCCCACTCCCGCCCTTACTGCCAGATGGCACTGCTGAAGTCAGCCAGCTTGCAGCCGGGCCGCCAGCTCGGAGGAGGAGGACCAGCGGGGCCAGAGGAGACTGGAAGCCTGTTCTGGGAGCTGAGCGATGGGCCCCAGCAGGCACTGTGAGGCTGGTGTGAGCCTCAGGGGGGACCAGGAGGAGGATAGCTCTGTCAGGAGGCAGGTGGAGCGATGGGACAGTCCCCACCAGCCCACGGCGGGGAGGACTGCAGAGCTGCTGCAGTGTCCAGGGCCCCGTAGGAAGCGGATGGCTCGGACCATCAGAACACTAAGACAGGGTTTTAATGAAGGATATTTACAAGGCATGGGCGTAGGGAAACCCCAAGGCAGAGTGCAGTCTCCTAGGTCTCAGAACTTCAGACCTGTTACCACCCCGGGTTGGAGGGGTCAGGGGAGGGAAAGTTACCAGAACCCAGAGGTAAGAGAGCTTCCTGACGGCAACTGGGACCTTTGTTCAGTTGAAGGTGACCTGCGGCTTGCTGGGTCCCTGCCGAGAGAGGAGAAGCAGGCCTGCTTCTGCCTCTGAACTGCTGCTGGCCGGACCCGACCAGGGGCAGAGGGCAAGGAGGCTTGTGGTGGTTGCTGCAGTCAGGGAGCAGGGTGGCAGTGGGGAGGGGGGCTCTGCAGAGGGACAACGACAGCTGTGGGTGGAGGGCACTTGGCGGGTCAGGTGGGGACCGGGGGCTTAGCGGCCACCATGTCCTGGGCGTCTGGCCCCGGGTGTGTCTGCTCACACTGGGGGCTGTCAGCAGCCCTCCGGAGGCCCTCGATCCAAATGGGTCCTGAAAGCAGGACCCCAGGAGCCGGACTTGGGGACTCCAGCCTCTCTACCCCTGGGCAGACCCTGCTTTCCCTCCTTGGGGGTCCTGGATGCCCCAGGACCTTTTCTGCCTTCTGCTGCTGTTGCTCCTTCTTCTTCTTGAGCCAGAAAAGGTAACATCTGGGCCAGGAAACAGGGTGGAGATGAGTCAGTCAAGGAGCAGGCATGTCTTCCTGGGAGACGCGGGGGCTTGGAGAAGTCACTCACCCACCTCCAGCCAAGAGGGCCAGGGGCAGAGCGATGCCGAGGCCTAGGGCCCACGCGAAGGTCCTCCGGGTCCCTGCTGGGGGTAGGAAGGGGGGTCAGTGCTTGGGGCAGGCAGGGCCATCTCGGTTCCAAGAGGAGCCCACGATCTTTCTTTCCTTTTTCCCCCCAGCTCAGTCACGCATTCGCATGGGCACCTACTGTGTGCCTGCACACATCCAGAGATGCAGGAGACAGGGTCCCTGCCCTCTAGGAGGGACACAAGCAAATGGTTACGCTGTGATGCCCCAGGGAAGCAGGGCAGTGCCAGATGGAGGAAGAGTGAAGGGGCGTGGGAGCTGGTCAGAGAAAGCCTGGGAGACGGGACTTCTGAGCTGGACTTGGAAAGACAAGTAGGAGTTCAGTTCAGATGGTCAGGGGGCCAGACTGTTACAGGCAGAAGACACAGGATGGTCAAGGACAGAAGGACGGAGCCGAATGTCAGTGTGTCAGCCGCTCAGTGTGGCTTGGGAGGCCAGGGTTGGGAGTGGTGAGCAGGGCCTCTCGAGGTGGGAGGACTTTATCCGAGGGCAACTGGGAGCCACTGAAAGTTACAACAGGACAGGTCGTAGGTAGATAGGCTACTTGAGAAGCAGTTCTTTGATTGCTGAGTAAGAGGTGGCCGGGAGGGCCAGGGAGGCCAGGTAGGAGATGTTGCTGCAATCCAGGCGAGCGATGAGGCTACCCGAGGAGTGTGGACGTCAGAATGAACATATGGCAACACACTGAAGAGTTCTTTAGCAAGACCAGGTGATTACCTGTACTGATGGGAGAGGGGGACCCCTGGTTCAGGAGGTCAAGGGCCTGGGTTGGGCATTTGCTGAGAGGGGCCCTGAGGGAAGAGCAGATTTGTGGGGTGGGGATGGGTGTGGATACTGCCCCAGGCAAGCCGGCCTTGAGGACCTGACGGACCTCTAGGGGAGATGTCTTAGAGGCAGCTGGCTCCACGGCCCTGAAGCTGGATGTGTGGAATGCAGAAACCCGATAGGATGGAGGGTAGAAGGGCTCGGGGCGGGACAGAGTAGGAGGACAGTCCAGACAGAGACAATAGTGGGCCTCGAGGTGGGTAATGGGGTGGGGGAGGCTGGAGCCAGACGATCGTTGGTCACTGACCTGGGCAGAGGATGGGGTCCTGGCAAGTGAGGAAGTGCGTCCTGCAGTTGTCACAGGTGATGATCTCCAGCGTGGAGCGGATGTCTGGGAGCGAGGATGGCGGGAGTCTTAACGAGGGCTGGGGGCCCCCTCCCCTGCCCCCCACCCAGGCCTCATCCCCAGAGACACTCACCACAGGACTTGTTGCAGGCTGCCCAGGGGGTGACATGGCAGAGAGACTGAGGTGCTGGGGAGGCAGACAGAGCCGGGAGGGGTCGGGGTGTGAGCAGGACGTGAAGCCAGGAGGTATAGTTGAGGGCCCCGCGAGAAGGCGGGGATGGGGGCTTCCGGGCAGGGACCTGGGGGTTGCAGATTGGACTCTGTCTCCTGGGATCTCTGCGAGGGAAGGGCTGGAGGATGGGCAGGAGCCAGCCCCACCTCTCACCCTTCTCCTTCAGCTCCATGCCTCTCTCCTTCAGCCGCTCAGAAAACAGCTGCTTCTGGACCCGAACCTCTTCCAGGAGTGACGGTTTATCTGGGTAGATTTAAGAATCAATAATGTAATTCTTTCAAGGTGGGGAATTCAAACCAGTTTTTTCAAAGAGGAACTCCACAGAGCACATGGATGGAGCCGGGTCTGATCTCACCCTTCACCTCCCAGCCCAGGCCGGTGGTCCTCTGGGAATGCCTTGGAGGGCCAGGCTCTGTCCACTCAAGCCCTGGGGCCCTAAGACTCTAAGCTTCCTCACCATCTCGATACTTCTTAATGGCTTGATCTATGTGAGTAAACAATTTGCCCGTTTCTTCCTCCAAGTGGTCCTGACCTGAGCATGGGATGCAGGACAAAGGGAAGTCAGGGGACTACGGCCCCAGGCTGGGTGAGGGGTCAGCCCTGATCCCTGGTCTCCTGCCCATGCCTCACCGAGATAGGAGGCTTCAGCGAAGGCACGGGTGTCCAGAAACAGGGAGTGGAGGCTTTGGGAGAGCTCTGTGGGTGGCCCCAGGCTGCCCCAGAGAACCTGCAGGTCGTAGTCGATCAGCGCAGGCAGCTCTGGCCAGCAGTGGAGGCAGCTCTCTCCGCTGGTGGCGGGCAGGATGCAGCCGAGCAGGAGAAGCAGCATCTTCTGGGGTCCTCCCTCCAGGCCTCACCACCCTGCCTGGCAGGTCCACACCAAACGCTGGTGCCCGGTCTCCCTGGTAACCACATTCTCTTTGCGGAACAAAAGTAAATTCCGCTGGGTGGGGTGAGGGCCAGCCGTGGCGCAAGACTTCGAATGGGGAACTGGACATCCTCCTCCACAGATGGGCTCCCTGGTGCTCACTGGGGACGGGTCTCATGAGAATCTAAGAGGTGGCCGTGCTGCCTTGTGGCTGATGCCGGCTCTCCTGAGAGCATTTACTGAGTGTGGAATAGCTCAATAAGCTGAAGTTTGCAAGGCCAGGAGAGAGCACCACAGAGAGAGGGCGAGCCATGTAAAGCTCCTGAGTCACCTTTCTGCACGGAGGCGTCAGCCCTGGGAAGCGGGTGGAACATAGGTCTTTTTCGTGGTGCATATAAACCGGCAGCTGTCTTGTACTTGGTCAGTCCAAAGAGGCTTCGTAGCTGCTCCCACCACCGTGTAGGCAAACAGTGTAGACAGGGTTCTGGCTGGTGCGTGGAAGTCCAGAGAGAAGCCATCAATGTGTGCTGAAAAAAAGAAAAATCCTTACTGCTCAATGAAGAAAAAGCCAGTCGGATGCTTGTCACCCCACAGCTGGTAAGCTTTGCCCTTCCCTGAGTTCCTCAGACTGAATTATGGGCAGCTGAAAGCCACTGGGCATTCGAGGAACGCTTCTAATGTGAACGAGAGGCAAAATCATGTCGAGAATTCAAAACAAAAGCAAACAAAACCACAGGAAAAAGGAAGGGTACAAAGACATGGTGGGGAGCAGAAGAAAACTCGGAACCCTGCTCTAATTAAGCAGACAAAATATTGCAGAAGCTGCTGCTATGTAAAACATCTGAGAATAACAGTTATCAGAGATTAAAAAATACGATAGCAGGTATTTAAAAATTACATGTATATGTTGGGAGAGAAACTTTCAGAGGCTTCCCAGACGGAAGTACAAAAAAAAATAGAGATAAGAAGTGGAAAAGAAAAGATAAAATTAGACAACCCACGAAATCCAGGTCCAACATCTAGCTAATATCAGTTTCAGAAAGAAAGGACAGAGGAATTGGAGGGGAGAACATTATGTTGTTTGTAGTAGAAGCTGGATGAGATGTACATACAGAGAGGACCACTATCTTAATAGGGAGAGGCGTATGGAGGACAGGAATCAAGGTTTGTAAGAAACAGCAGCAGCCAGTTGGTAAATTCAGGCTGCGTGGGTCAGACAGGCTCTGAGAGGAGGGTGATTCCGAGGCCTGCAAAGTTGTGGCTTTTTCACTGGCTTTGGACATTTTGGCGTTAGGGAATTATGCCTGCTTTTTCCGCACTCAGGCATTGCTTCTGGGTATAATTTATATGAAGCAGGAGTTTGTCTGCTTGTCCGCATGCACGCATCTCTTCTCAACAGAGGTTTGGGCTAACACCTTACCATGTGCTACGGGCTTCCTTTTCCTTGGTTTATGTTCTTCCTTTGGGAAACTTTTGAGGTGGGCAGGATTCAGGTGTCACTTTGTCCCTGGCCCAATACTGTCTCGATTCTTTCCCACCTTCTAATCCTTTGAAGGGGCATTTAAACATAGAATCATGGAGTCTGTGGGCTGGGGGAGCTTTCAATCCAACGCATGACTATAGTTTTAGTCTCTGCTTGCTTGCCTTGATTTCTCTTCTAGTTTCTCATTTAATGCAGTTGTGTGTTGGGTACTTGGAATGAATTAGGAGTCTGAATAATAAACCTTCCATTCCTGGGCATCTTGAGGGCATCTTATGTTGAGATCACATCCATCTTGCTGTGCTTCCGGTCGTTCGGGCGTGTCCAGCATCTCTGACATGGGACAGCTCACCCAGTGTTTGAAGATGGAAATCAAGCATCTTCTTTTGGGGTCAAACACCATCTCTCCAGTCCAAGAGCTCCCTTAGCCCATCTTAGTATCTACTTTCATGTCTCCCACCATTCTGATTGCTCTTCTTTTGAACCATTCCTGACTGCCCTTGGCAGGAAAGAATGAGCAACTGGATTGCCCTTGACCTTGGCAGGGTTTGTGTTTGTGTCTTCCTGCTTCCCCTAATGATGCAGACTTCCCCCACTGGTGCAGACTTCCCCCAAGTGTTCGTTTTGTATTGCCGCATAACAAAGGACCCTAAACTGAGTGGCCTAGATCAGCACTCATCTGTCATCTTGTGGTGGAAGTTTGGGCTTGGCTGAGCTGGGTTCACTACTCAGGGTCTCACAAGGCTAACGTCATGATGTTATGTATCATAACCCAATCACAGGAGTGAACTCCTTTGTTTTCACAGTGCTGGGACTTTGAGTCAAGAGATATCAGCCCAACCTCCAGGGAGGAAAGGGGGTGGAGATTGAATTCTGCTCAAGGGGAGAGGATTGTGTCTGGTGTGGACCAGGAGACAGGAATCTTGGAAATCATCTCAGAATTCTTCTGGCCACACCTCTAAGCCCCAATTATCTACCCTTTGGATCTGAAATGGTGTCACCACTCCTGATCTCTCCACACAATTAGTCACCAGTTTGGGGTAGGAAACTGTGCCTCCCCAGACCCCCTTAGTATAAGTTAGTTGGAGGCACAGATGCAATGCAGTCCTGATTCTAACTACCCAGAGTCAGTGCACACTCCGTAGGTTAGGAGGCCATCCTTCAAGGGCTAACCTCCTTTCGGATGGGGGCAACTGTCACGCCAGCTTCACTTCTGATCAACCAGCCACAAATATGGAGGTTTCCACTATCTCCTCAGCTTTGATAACTCACTGGAATACTACACTCAAGATTGCAGTTTTACCATAAAGGATACAAATCAGGAGCAACCAAATGGAGAGACACATTGAGAAACATCTGGGAGGGTCCCCAACTCAAAGCTTTCATGTTCTCAGGATGAGTCACCCCCCTGGTATCACCCGAGCTTCAGTGTCTAGGATTTTTACTGGGATTTCATCACGTGGGCGTGACTGAGTTGTCGGCCACGGGACTGAACTCAATTTCCATCCCCCTCCCCTCCCTGGAGGTTGGGCTGATATCTCTTGGCTCAAAGTCTTAATCCTCTAATCACATGGCTGCTCTTTCTGGTTGGCCAGCCCCCATCCTGAGTCTTCTCTTCAGCATAAAGCCAGCAGGAAGTCCACCCTAAGGAGCACAGACACTCCTATCACTCAGAAATCCCAAGGATTTAGAGGTTACCTCCCAGGAACCAGGGACAAAGGCCAGCCAGATTCTTTACTGTCCAATGATAACACATAAAGTCTTTATTGCGTATTAACATTTTGGCTGGAATATACCAGGGTCTGGGCTTTGTGTTACGCTTCTGGGGTTTCCTGGAATCTTCTGAGAATTTCTCAAATGCCAGACACAAGCTTTTGATTCTGAGGTGCTGAGTTGTGGGGATATTAAGACAGCAGCAGTGAAAGCTCTAGGGACAAGTAGAACATTACGAGGGCATCTATCTTCGCCAAGTACACGACCAAATTAACTCACTTGGTTGGCAAAACTGTCTCAGAGGTTATTGACCAGTAAATCCTGTCCAGTTGTTACAGGGAACCTCAACTGAAAGAATCTGTGATAAATCCAAGAGGTTGGTATCAGCTTGGTCAATGCCTTTACAAGAGGTTAGATTTAGTTGTTTGATTTTCTTAATGAAAAAAATTAGAAAAAGTTCCTCACCAGATGACCTATCATAAATGAAATATTCATTTCATTTTCTTTCTGGTTAAAACTCATGTCTTGAAATGCTTTGTTGTATCTACTTAGAATGATCAGTGGCGATGCCTGGGGGGATTTCTCTTGCAGAATTTGTTGGTAGAGAACATTAAAATTGCATGAAGCCCCTCATGTAATTTTAATGATCATCAAAAGGAGTTTGACTGGAATTGGGAGGAATTTAAAGTGAAATGCTTCTTCAGGGAAAGGCTGAAGCCATGCTCCTTTGGTATTCAAGGAGGTGAGGTCAGCAATCTCTAGGACACGTCTCCATCCATGCGGGACAGAGACATTCTCTCCATGGTCAGGGGCCGTGGTCAGAAGGTCTGCAAGACAAAGAGTACCTGGTCATCTCCTTGACATCCCTGGGGGACCACCCAGGGCTAGATGTGGACATGGCCTTGAACAGGACTCAGTGTGAATTCTTTGCTCTTCCCAGGAGGAGTGAGCTGAGACCTAGAGTGGGACGTGATGAAGGTTCAAGTTCAGACCTGTGCCTTCCAAACCAGAGCCCATGACCCCACACCTCACATCCCAGTCTCTTGGGTTTTTCATCTGATGGTCACTGAGCTCAGCTCCTGCATCCATGAAGCCATAACCAGGCTTCTCCATCCCGCAGTGATTCCCACATCCTCCAGTCCCTATGACGGCCACATTTGTACTCCATTAGTTAACTAGCTGCGTGCCAAATTGTGACGTATTTTCTGTTGTTGACTTTAAATATCATTAACATCCAGGGTAACCTGTGTTTCTCCTGGACCTTAATAGCTTGCTTTGAAATGCAGGGTCAAGATCATAGTAATATTGCTTCAGGTCATCTCCTTTGGCAAGGTCTCGGCTCTCCGGCTGTCCTGCGGTCAGAGCCAGAGGCCGTGGAGCACGTCCCCCATGCGGCTATGAGCACAGCTCCTGCAGCTGACGGGGGATGCCTGCTCCTCTCTGTGGAGGTGAGCCCCCCCACCACTGCCACTCCCCATACACCACGTTCTCAGCTTCTTCTTCTCTGCCTTGGATGTAGGGGGACCTGGCTCCCTGTTGAGAGCTCAGGACTCTCCTAATTGCCTTTAGGAGAGCTTGGCCCCCATCCATGGCCCTGCAGAAGAAGAGAGAAAGGCTCCTCTCCTTCAGCCAGAAGTCTAAAGCAGAATGTTTGTGTTCTAAGGCTCTGGGGTGAGTCTGATACCACTGGCTTCCTTCTGATGGAGATGTGCAGTCACCCTGGAAGCAAGCTTCTTCCTCTCGCCTCTTGGCTCCTTACAGTAAATCC